CCTCCTCTGCCTTGTGGAGAACGGTCCACCACGACAGATGTGCCACCAGCCACGGCGGAATGGACACAGGCGGCTGAGACAAGCAGATGCGCAGCTGGTGGGAATCTCACTTGGCCGATGGCGATGTCAAAAGCCTTCCCTTGGGTTCTGCAGAACTGTGGACAGCCCAGTGCTGGCCCCCAGGACAGGGAGCTGTACACACAGCAGGCACCTACACAGGCACCTGGCAAGGTGCCCTCGGGGGATGCCCATCCAGAAAGCACAGGGCACACACTGCGCCCATATCCACAAGCCTGTTCCGTCCATGACCCACACTCACAGCATGTGTGTACAAATATCCACACACACACACATTCACAGCACTCCCACACATAAGCAAGATGTGGGCACCCCAAGGAGAAATGAACACACACAGACCCACCATTGAACAAGTACAACTGGAGAGAGAGCGCACGTGCGCGAAGAAACATGAACAGGCACATGTATCCGCACAGGCACACGTTTGCCCATGCAGCACGCGGCCTTACACGCACTTACATGGACATATGTGACAGTACACTGGCGCACACACGCACAATGCATGCGGCTGTCGGCCCCTTTGTTAGCAGAGCCCTTTTTCTAAACTCCAATTCCTCATGGGGGCCCCGAGACACCCCAAGGGCAGGTGTGCCTCCCACCACCGTCTGGGGACAAGGGCAAGGACATACCTCTCCATCCCTCTGCACCTACGCCCAAGGAGACCAAGAAAGGGCTGTGCTGGGCTGCATTGCTGGAGCCGGACGCCAACAGGCAGCTCACCATTGTGCCTCTGTCCCCGTGACACCCGGCAGAGCAGCCAGGAGCCAGCGGGGACTGGAAGGGCCTGAGAGAAAGACCTGGGATCTACTTTGGCTGGAAATTCGCCCTTGATGGGCTTCCCTTTCCCACAATGCCTTTGGCTGCTGTACCTGCCAACACCTGTGTGAGTCCATAGGACCAGCCTACCATTTTCTGTCATTCTCCTCCCACCCCAGAGTTGAGGGCCAAAGTGCCACTCCCGCACCTGGGCACACCTGGGCGCACCTGCCCCCACCTACCATTGCCCATCGCCAACACCTGCACGTTCTCAAATTCCAGGGTGGTGTAGGCCGGGTCCAGTGCAGCGCTGTAGTCGGCCATGTCCATGTCGACGAGGGTTTTGGAGAGGCGCATTCTCCCCCTGCCTCCACGCCTCGGCCACCTGCCCTGCCCAGGGTGCCCACCCCGAAGGCTCCAGGCGAGCCCGGCCCCCCCGCCCTCCGCCCTCCCACTGCCTCCTCCCAGGGGCCCTCTCTGCCTCCCTGCTGTCCAAGCTGTCCTCTGGGAGGTTCTGCGGGAGTCTGGGCCTAGCCTCTGGCGGGGCGGAGGCTCCGGCGGGGAGGGGTGGGGGTTAATGGTTAATCGATGGCCCAGTGGCCGCTGGGGGATAGGCTGGGCGGGGCGGCAGAGATTTGGCTGTTTGTTGCTTTCTGACTGACACCCGGGGTGCTAATGACAACTGTTGGGGCCCTAACTCAACAACAGTCGGTTCTCCAGCCTGCAAGGCGGCCACCCTCTCAAGCCATGGTCACCCCAAATTGGGTACTGGCAGTCCACCTCCAAGGTGCCCTGACTCAGTAACTGCTAGATGGCCGGCTTCTAGTCTCAAGGCGCCTGCCAAGATAAAGCGGCGAGCACTCCAGCTGGCCACCCAGCCTTCCGATCTTCCTTCAGAACGGGCCGGAAGCTTGTCAGGGCCAGGGCCACCTGTAGCTCCCCTCCCCCTGCCCCCTGGGGTCTCACTACAGCTGGGCCAGTCCCTGCTGTTGAGGCCCGGCCTGTCCTGCCTCCCCAGCCCCCAGAGCAGGCAGAGACGCCCCACAGACCTGGCTTTGCCTTCAGGCGCCTGCCCCCTGCCCACTGTGACTCTGGGTAAATGATTGTCCTCTCTGAGCCCGGTTCCCTTCTCTGTGGACAATCGAGACGGCACCAGCAGGCACCAGCAGACGCCGGGCCACCCCCGGCAAACACCGCCCCTCTGCTGCCGCCCTCTTCCTGTCCTGCACCCCGTTTTCTGCCTCCCTGCACCCATGCCCTCCCTTTACATTGTGGGTGCTGCCATGCAGATGCCCAGGGCCCGTGTTCAGGAAGGCCCTGGTTTGGTTTCATGCTCGGCTGCTGGCGTCTTGAAATTCTCCGTGAGTCTGGGACAAGGAACCCTGGACAACTTCTGCCCAAGGCCCACCCTGCCCTTCTCACACCCTCCCTGCCTTCCCACTGCCACTTCCAAGGGCTCCCACTCCAGCTGGGCTGTGAAGTTGCAAGATGGAGGGTGGAGGCTGAGGCCAAGGATCCCTGGGGATGAGGGGCCTGACTCCTCTGCTGGCCCACAGGACAGCTGGGAGGGGCGTGGTGACATCCATGGGCAAGAATGGCTGACTTCGTGGGAAAGTCCATCTGTGAGCGAGCAGGTGGCTGGATTACGAGTGAACGCACTAGAGAAAGGCTGAATTCACGTGTGAGTTGGATGAATGAATGAGTGGACAGTGGATGGATTAGTGAAAGTGTGAATTAATAAGTGAATAAATTGGGGGGGGGATCAAGCGAGGGCTGTGTGTGTCTGAGAGGTGTGAGGGGCAAGCTCTCCACATAAAGCTGAGGAGGACAGGGCGTGGGCTTATTTATTTAAAAAAAAAAAAAAGATTCATTTTATTGGGGCTGGTGCTGTGGCTTAGTGGGTAAAGCCTCCGCCTGCAGCACTGGCATCCCGTATGGGCACCAGTTCTAGTTCCAGCTGATCCAGCTCTCTGCTGTGGCCTGGGAAAGCAGTAGAAGATGGCCCAAGTCCTTGCACCTGCACCCACGTGGGAGACCTGGAATAAGCTCCTGGTTTCAGATCAGCTCAGCTCCAGCCATTGCAGCCACCTGGGGAGTGAACCAGCAGATCGAAGACCTCTCTCTCTCTCTCTCTCTCTCTACCTTTCAAATAAATAAATAAATAAATACTTTTAAAAATTCACTTTATTTATTTGAAAGTGAGAGAATCTTCCATCAACTGGTTCATCCCTCCACAGCAGCCAGGCCTGGGCCAGGCCAAAGGCAGGAGCCAGGAACTTCCTCCAGGTCTCCCATGTGGGTGCAGGGGCTCAAGGACTTGGGCCATCTTCCACTGCTTTCCCAGGCCGTAGCAGAGAGCTGGATCAGAAGTGGAGCAGCCGGGACTTGAACAGGTGCCCATATGGGATGCCGGCGCTGCAGGCGGTGTCTTCATCTTCTACGCCACAGCACCGGCCTCTCTCTTGAGCTTTATGTCCCTGCGATAGAGCTGAGGGCCTAGAGGTTTGTTGCCCAGGGGCAGGGAGGGCGCAGCAATTGTTCTGGAGGATGAGGGGAGTCGGATTTTGTGTCAGGAGACCTGGGGCTAGGAGCCAGCTCTGTCGCTTTTTGGATGGGTTTGCTTAAATCCCATCTCCTTTCAGGGCCTTACTTTTCCCATCAGCAAAATGGGGAGATGATCCTGGCCCAGTTGTTTGTTGAGGGAGCGAGAGAGGCTCCAGCCCTCATTTCAGATCCCCAAGGGCCCGCGGGAAGCCTCCATCCAGTGCTGGTGCCTTCCTGTGTGCCCTGCCCAGAAACAGCTGGTCCGGGCTCCAGGGGTGCAGGGATCGGTGCTGAGCTGGGCGGGAGCAGATGAGCTGACTGTGGGATAGGCACTCAGGACAAGTGGCCAGCAGCCGTGGGAGGCTCCCCACATGGGAGACCCGGATGGAGCTTGAGGCTCCTGGCTTTGGCCTGGCCCAGCCCCGGCTGTTGTGGCCATTTAGGGAGTGAACCAGCAGACAGAAGATTCTCTCTCTCTCTCTCTCTCTCTCTCTCTCTGTGTGTGTGTGTGTGTGTGTGTGTCTTTCTGTGTAACTCTGCCTTTCAAATAATTTTTTTTAAATGAAACATTTCATATTGCAAAGAAAAAGAAACACATCAATAGAAATATGCCCAAAGGATATAAGAAAGCTTCCCACAAAAGAAACATGTCTCTGACAAAAGCTGAAAAAAACTGGTAACAAGAATGACAATGCAGGGGCAGGCATTAGGCATTAGGCTTGGGGCACCTGCATTCCACATCAGAACAGCAGCTCGTCCTGGCTCCTCCACACAGATCCAGCTAATGCACCTGGGAAGGAATGGATGAGGGCTCAAGTCCTTGGGTCCCCTGGGGGAGACCCAGAGAGAGTTCCTTGCTCCTGGCTCCTGGCTTTGGCTTGGCCCAGCCCCAGCTGCTGCGGCCATTTGGGCCAGTGAACCCTCTCTGTCACTCTCCTTACAAAATAAATAAATGAAATGTATTTTTAAAATGCGTCTTTCTATAGATGACACTGCAGACTCCATTGAACAAGGTCTGTGGTCAACCAGGTCAGCCAGGCCGTGCCACAGCCAGGACCCATTACACATGGGAACCACGGGGCAGACGGCCCGCACGTGGGGAGTACACAAACCACGATATACATGACTGATCGAAGGCATAACACGCCCCACTGCCTGCGAGACACACAGCCCAGACGTGTGCTGCCACGAGTCCGCACAGGCAACCCATCGGCTCGTTCGCCGTGATCAGAGACACCCTCCGCCCACTCGAGATGGTGTCTTCCAGACACCCACCCCTCTGGCTCCATGACCTCAGGCCAGTCATTATTTCAGGCCTCTGTTTCTCCTTCTGTAAAATGGGCCGAGCTTGTAGTTTGCTGGGCAGATTCCAGGAGATGCTACTCCATGGTTCTTAGCTCTCCCTCCCCCATGGCCCTCCAGGGGCATTAACCACAGACCCTGAGGTCAGGCAGATCTGGGACACGATTCAGGCACTGCCCATCTGCAGTTTACTGAACTGTGTGACCTTGGCCTTGACCTCTGTCGGCTACGGTTTCAGCACAAACGGAGGGCTTTGCCTTGCTCACGGGGTGGTATGGGCATCCATCAACTCAGTGCAGGGACACAGCCAGCCCTGACACCCACAGGATCCTCATCTGTACCCTCAACCAACCACAGATTGAAAATAGTTGGACAGCAAAAGTGGACGTTGCTGGACAGGCAGAGGCTTCTTCCCCCGGTCACTACTCCCTGACCGAGGCAGTGTACGAGCGATCCACGCGGTCAGGCATCATCAGTCGCCTGGAGGTGACTTAAAGTATGCAGGACGAGGTGCACAGGGTGGACGCAAATACGAAATACTGGACAGCTTCTATAAAGGACTTGACGCCAGGGAAGGGCCCGGAACCAACCCCCCGGGGACACAGAGGGACGCCCAGTGGCAGGGATTATTGTCACTGGTCATTGGCTCCTTGAGCTGCCGGCCACAGGATCTTCAGGAATCAGGACCCCTGCTGTGGAGAGCACCTGGGTGCAGAGCCCTGTTGTCACCGAGCACTGGCCTCTCCCTCTTGGGCTGTCAGGCTCTTGGGGCAGCAGTAGCCAGGGGAGAATGGAGGCTCACCTAGGAGACCTGGAGAAGGGGCAGGACAGGCCTAGGCGGCCAGCCACTGGGGCCCCAGCTCTGGGCAGGGAGCTGGTGTTCTGCTGCGAACACAGGTGAAGGGAGCTGTGGCTGTGAACGGCATCATTTGCCTCTGGCAGTGTCACCGTGGCTGGTGTTGGTAGAGAAATGGGCTCTGGCTCGTGCTAAGAACCTTCTAGAACCTTCCATCTCCCCGTGTCGTCCTTGGAGACGGGGCTGTCGTCACCCTCACTTTATAGGTGACCCAAGTGACGCCCGAGGGGTGCAGGGACTTGCTCACGGCCACACCGACCCTAACGAGAGGGGCTGTCGGTTGCACCCGAGTCTGATGGCTTTACCTCCTGCAGGCAGCCCCATTGTCTGCAGGACCAGGGCCAGTGCCAGGCAGTGGCTGTCTCGTGGCACTGTCCCGGGGCACTGCAGGGCCGACAGCACCGTCCAGACACCTGGCCGCCAGGCTGCCGGCGCCTGGCCTCCCTTCCGAGCTCAGCACACCGCTATCTCCTAGCCTTCCTCCCCCGCCGGCCACCCTGGGCGCGGTGCAGCAAAAAGCGGGACTTATCAAGACAAAGAACAAAAGTCGTGGGGGAAAGAAGCCAAGAGCCATCTCCACTCTGGGGTAGGGCCCTTCAGTTTCGCCCCTTTGAAATTTCAAATTCCAGTTTGTGGACAAAGTCCTAACTATCTCACAATATAGGTCCCCAACCACTGACCAACCGCCAGTCCTGGCAGCCACCCGGCCGAGGCTGGCCTGGGCCTGGCCGCTTCCTTTGGCTCCCAAGGCCTTGGGGACGGGGAGAGGGGGTCTGCTGGGTGGCTGACCCTGCGGCTGCAGCGCACCCCACGGGGACCCCTGCACCCCATCTCACAGCCCTGGGCTTGGAGCTGGGATCGGACGCTCGCTGGGACCGAGAGCAGGGAGCAGGTAGGCCCCCGCCCTGCCTGGGCGCCCTTTCCTCTGGGAGCCCCCAACCCACTGCTCTCATCCCCTCCCGCTGTGGGCCCCTGGTGCAGGCTGTCAGGGCTTAGTCAAGTCACGACCTCACGGAACTTCAAGACTGGAAAGCCAACCCACCCATTTGGTGGATGGAGACACTGAGGCCCCTGGCAGAGTGGCAGCGGCTGCAGGTGCCACCGGAGACTGGGAGCATAGGTGTGGGCCCTTCCCTGAGCCCCAGAGGGCGAGGGACTTGCTCAGAGCCCCTCCGCGGTGAGCCGGGGCCTCATGAGGTGGCCCGCCTGGCGACACGGCGGCTCTCCTACGGAGCATGGATGGAGAGGGGGGTTTGCTCGCTCAACCGCTGATGGCTCCTGGGTTGCCACGGAAGTGCTTCAGAGACGAAGATGAGGGAGCTCGGGGCTGAAGGCCAGTGGCTTTGGAAGGAAACAACACGCATGTGGTTAACTGATAACTGGGCCCCATCCCTGGGCCTCTACCAGCCTCCTTCCTCCCTCCCTCTCCTCGGCTTGATTAAGATGAACTTAGCTGCCTGCTAATCATTGCTGAGCCTGTTGATTTTGCCTTAAAAAATTAACTGGGCATGAGTTTGCGGTTTGTCTCACCCCTAACCCTGCGAAGGCCCGGGTGGGCAGGAGGCCTCCTGGGTTATGCAAGAGGCCACTGGCCTCCGGACACATGGCCAGCAGCCGCCCCGCCACTGTCCAAAGGGGTGGTTTTGCTCAAGAGTCAACAGTCTGGCTGTCCCCCTGCGCCGGGTCCTAGGCAAATTTGCTCTGTTACCAAAGAAAGATAAAGACAGCTTTGTGCGGTGGGGGCAGCGTTCCTAACAGGGATGCGCCGCGGCCGCTTTGAGCTGGGGATTCTAGAATCCTGCAGCGCCAGGGCCGGGAGAACAGTCAGCGAGGCTTGGAGCCAGGGAGCGCATGGGCAGGCGGTGCCCGCTCCCACACCAGCCTTGTTCATCTTCCGCTCTAGCCCCAGCCCCGCGTCCAGCCGGACAGCTGGAGGCCAGGCGGCAGAAACACTCATCCCCGGACTCCCCTCTGGCTGGGACCTGGCTGCAGGTGACACAGTGCCTGCCGCACTCCCGTCCCTCCCAGGCTGGCTAGGAGACAACCACCAAGGGAGCCACATCGGGGGCAGGCAGTCGCCCGGCCTTGTGTCCTGCAGCCCTCACAGGAGAGTGGCCAGCAGCCACGAGCCGCAAGCCAGAGCCTCCACGTTATAATGCGCCCCAGCCATGTCCTGCCTCTGGGGACAGCAGCCCTGCTCCGGCTCTGCTGACCTCTCCCAGGCTCACTTTCGTAGCCTGGACGTGGAAGCGAATCAATCACTCCTCTCAGCCGCTCCACGAGGCAGGCGACGTTTTTCTCACCGTGTTCCGGACCACAGGCACAGAGAGGCCAAGGCGCGGGTCCAAAGCCACACAGCTGCTAAGCAGCGAGGGGCAGAATGTAAACCCAGGCAGTACGGCTCCAGCCTCCGTGCTCCTAACTTTGAGGCCACCCTGTCCTTCCAGGCACCCACCCTGCAGGCGCTCGCTGGGAGATGGGCAGGGACCAGGGCATTGTGGGAGAAGCTGTAGGGCACCCAGGGCAGCCTGGAGGCGGCTCAGGAAGGGCGCCAGGAGGCCCCGGGCTGTGTGGGCAGGGCCTGCCTGCAGCCAGGCGGCTTGTGACATCTGGCCCGAGGCTGTTGCTCTTCTGTTTATACCCAGCTGTCCTGTTTGTGTTCCTGACTTTATCTGCAGCAGTGACCTTGGCAGTGAGATGGGCCAGGCCGGCCCTGTGGGCTCTGAAGAGTGATGGAGAGCCCTGAGCCAGGCCTGCGCCTTGGAATGAATCCACACGCAGAAGGCACGCTTACTCTCCGTGCACCCTTGCTCTGAGGGGCCCCAGAGACTGACCTGGAGGTCACTGACGTGACGTGCTGGGAAGTCCTGCGACTCAGGCCAGGATCACTGTGTGCAGTTGCTTAGGTTGCTGACGGCATAAACATTCTGCCGCAAACGGGGTGGACGAGGGTAGGAACTCAGCCCTTGTTGCGTTTGCCAAGCTCAGGGCCCATGAGTCTGCCCGGAGTGGGGTGCCTTTTTCTTATTTGCACAAAGGCTGCCCGCCCCTGCCGCGGTCCCAGCTGCTGAGCGACTCTGAGTAAGGTCATCTCCCCGCCTGGCCTCGGTTTACCATGCTTTGTCTGGCATAAGGCAGATATTCAATCCTGATGGTTTGTGAAACAGAACCATCTGGGACCCTTAAAAAATGCAGATGCCAAGGCCCCGTCACGGAACAGTGAGCAGGTGGGCGCGAGGCACCTGCACTTCGGGCAGTTTCCGAGAGGTTCCAGGACGAGGCTTCAGTGGCCTGCACCAGCCCCGCCTCTGTTCCTGAGCCAGCTCCCGGCACACGGGTCCCCATCCCAGCTGCACCCCTGTCCTTGTCTTGAGGTTGTGACTGTGGCTGGCTACTTTACATAATTTATTAACTTTTTTTCACTTAGTTTTGAATCGGTCCTCTAGCCATGGCTTCAAATCAAAATATTGACCAGGTGCCCACTGAGACGCCTGGCTGCCAGGGAGGCGCCGCCCAGGGTGCTTCACAGACCCCGCAGCACGCAGGCCCACGCCCCAGGCCCGCTGCTCAGCTCCTACTTCCTGCCGTGGCCCCGCGACTTTTCCATCACAGCTGAGGGCGGGTTTGGAGGAGGGCAGGGTCACTGCCTTCCTTCCCCTGCAAGGAAACCGAGACCCAGGGACGCGGCGTCACCTGCCCAGCGGAACTTGGGCTCCCTGGCCCCCTGGGGCAGGGGCTGGGCGCTGCCCAGGAAGCCTGGCCCAGCAGGTGCACTCTGGAGTGGGCACAGAGCCCTCCAGGTGGGGTCCCGCGAGGTCTGGGCCCCAAAGCTCCAAAGAGAGACTGAAGTGCGGACCAAAACCATCCCAAAGTCATCCAGATAGGGACCCAGGGAGGGGTGTCCCCTGCACGGGACAGTCAGGGCCTGGTGGCAGGGCCCAGCGGCACAGGGGTGCCTGCCTGTCACTTGGGCTGTGCTCACAGCAGGGTAGGCCAGGCGGGGAGCAGAGGGAAGCACGGTGGACAGGAAGGAAGAGGCGGCTGTAGCTGGAGGCGACTGGCTCCTGGGATTCAGCAGCAAGGGGGTTCTCACAGACGCTCAGGGCCGCCTCTGGGCGCCTGGCTCTGGGCAAGTCACCGCCCCTTCATGTGCCTCGGCTTCCCCGGCTGCACGAGGGAGACCAGGCAGCCGGCCCTTGGGCAGCCTTTGAGAACCCCGAAAGATCCTACGGGGCTCCCTCACCTGCGGAGGGGATCCAGAACATCCTTCAACCCGTCAGGGCCCTTGGCCATCCTGGGTTAGGGGCCGAGGGTCTCAGTTCTCCGCGCTGCCCAAGAACCTGGCCTCCGCCCTCGGTCTGTCTTTCTCCTGCCACACCACCCTTGCAGGCGGCCGTGGCCTCAGGAGCATACCTGGGGGGCCCTGGGGGACGCCCTGGCGCCAGGCCGACATCCTCCTGCGGGTGCTGCGGGCTCCCACGCGGGCTGCGGCCGCTTCATCCTGGGGCCAGCGCCTCCTGCCACCCTGGCACCCGAGACGCCGTGTGCTGCCCAACGGCGTTAATCCCTTAATGCTGGTCACAATGAGACCACAGGGAAGGTGGCAGGCAGTCTCCATGGAAACGCAGACCTGTCTGGGACCCACTGGGAGGGGAGGGAATTAGCCGCAGGGTTCAGCGAGGGCCTCCTAGAGCTCCAACCCAAAAGGGAACAGGCGACACGGCGGCCGGACCCTGTCTCTGAGGCCTGGGCCACACCACAGCCCCTGGGCTGCCCAGGGCTCCCCTGCCGGACCGGCAGAGCCCCAGTCACAGGGAGAGGCTGCTCGCTTCCCAGCCTCTTCCCTCAGCCTCGCACCGTGGTTACAACCCTTTACCTGGTGGCTTTCTGAGACTGGCACAGGCTCAGGGGGTGGGGGTGGGGATGCATCTACAGCGAGGAAGGTGCCAGACCCGAGTTTGAAGCTCAGCTCTTCCCTTGCTTCCTGTACACCAAGGTCGGGCCTCAGTTTCCTCATCTATAGAATGGGCACAGTGATACCAGCCATCATTCGAGCCTGACCTCTTTCTGACCGCCGCCCACCCTCCACACAGGCGCTCTCCCCAGCCACCCTCTCTGCGCAGCCCTGCGGGCTTGGGCGGGTTCGGGGGCTCCTCCTGTGCCCACTCACAGTCCTCCAAGCATCACATCGTCATCATGGACTCAGAGATGCCCACCAGGCGCCTGTCTGCTTCCACCACCGGACTGTGTCAGTTTCCCGGGGCCCCAGCTGGTGAGTGAGGGGATGGCGACCAGGCCCAGCCACAGGCCCAGCATTTATCCCGCGCCTTCCACGTGCACGGTGGGCGCTGGGGGCACAGCAGCTGAGACACGGACAGGATGGCTCGAGGGGCTGAGGTCCAGTACACACACACACACAGGATCCGGCTCAGATTTCAGACGGGACGACTAAGAGTGAGCACTCCACTTCTTGGAGGCATCCCCTTATACAAAGCTGTTTATCTCACATTTGGGGGGAAAGTGGTGGAAACAGACAGTAAACAAGCCAAGAGGAAAAAAAAAAAAAAACAAAGCAAAAACACAAGTAAATGTCAAGCAGGCACCCAGGGCAGAGGCGGGCAGGTGCAGGACTCTCCCACCAGGGGCGGGTCCTGGCCGCAGGGCGGCGGCCACTCCTTCGGATAAGGTCTCCGGGGATCCTAAGGGGGTAGGGTGGGCTGTTGTCCTGGAGAGAAGGACCCTAGGCGGGCGGGGCTGCTGAGTTTACAAGGCGGACTGGCAACTCTGGGCTTTCACAGACCACGAACCCACAGCCCCACCCCTCGGGTCAGCCAATGTCCTCCTGGGGCTGGGAGCCAGAAGACGGGGCAAGGGGCTGTGCAGAGAAGCGTGGCCACCTGGCGGGAGCCAGGCGCCGGGACATACTTCTCCATCGTCCCCTCGCCTGTTCGGCGGTTGCCCCAGGGCGCAGGGCGCAACCCTCAGGGCGCCGGGCAGGAGGAAGCACCGCAAAGCGGCTCTGTGCGCTTCCCGGGCGCCTCCTAGTGGCCAAAGCAGGAACTGGCGCTCAGAAACTCAAAGGGTGGCCCCGGCGTCACCAATGGCAGCCAATCACGGGCGCCCACTCAGCACGCTCACCAATCACAACTCGCAGGCGCACTTCCGTCCAATCACACAGCAGCACATGGTCGCTGAACCAATCAGAACACGAGATTTAAAAACCCGGGCCTGCGGCCAGCACCACGCTGTCATTCCACAGAAGCGGTGTTCCTAATGCCTGGTCCAGAAGTTTGGGGGCCTTTAAGCAAAGCCTCGGGCGTTGTGCTTGCTCCACGTGGCAGCACCCAGGGGCGTTTGGTCATATTCCCATCATTCAATATCACACACACGGCTGGCAAAAAAAAAAAAAAAAAAAACAAAAAAAACAACCAACAAGGTCCTTGTGATCCGCACTTGTCACCTTGCATTAAAGGACATCCTGGCGTTTGTGTGGGTTCCTCCTGCCCCTCGCCCCTTTATTATCTGTCGCTGACCCAGTTATTTCTTCTCAACTAGGAATCATACAGGCACTTATCCGGACCTGACTTCTCCCCGCCCCCCATTAGGGGGCTGACCTTGCCTGGGGCACTGCCCAGGGCGCTCTCGCAGCTAGCACAGTTTAAGAGAAGCAAATAGCAGGTGGTTCACAGGTACCTGCTGGATGGATGACTGGAAGGGTTCTTGCTGAGAGACAGATAATAGCAGGCACACTGGTTAAAAATCAGTCCAGTGGGCCGGCGCCGCGGCTCACTAGGCTAATCCTCCGCCTTGCGGCGCCGGCACACCGGGTTCTAGTCCCGGTCGGGGCGCCGGATTCTGTCCCGGTTGCCCCTCTTCCAGGCCAGCTCTCTGCTGTGGCCAGGGAGTGCAGTGGAGGATGGCCCAGGTGCTTGGGCCCTGCACCCCATGGGAGACCAGGATAAGTACCTGGCTCCTGCCATCGGATCAGCGCGGTGGCCATTGGAGGGTGAACCAACGGCAAAGGGAAGACCTTTCTCTCTGTCTCTCTCTCACTGTCCACTCTGCCTGTCAAAAATAAATAAATAATTAAAAAAAAAAAAGCGATTGTCATACGTAGATATTCACTGAAAATGACTCCATGTTTATAGTAGAAAGTTTGGAAAGTAACAGAAAATGCGGAGAGTACAAGTTACATGTGCTCCTGCTTGCAGAGAGCTGCAAACTCTTAACTGTTAAGTGAATTTCCTGATCTCAGCATTGTCAACCTTCAGGGCTGGATCTATCTTTCTAAGATTTACAATGAGACTTTCAGAGAGGGAGAGACAGAGATTTTCCATCTGCTGGTTCACTCCCCAGGTGGCCACACGGCCAGAACGGAGCCAGGAGCTTCATCCAGGTCCCCCACATGGCAGCAGGGGCCCAAACACTTGGGCCAGCTTCCACTGCTTTCCCAGGCGCATTAGCAGAGAGACTCGAAGCAGAGCAGCTGGGACACGAACCGGCACCCGTACACGATGCCAGCATGGCAAACAGCGGCTTCCGCTGCTACACCACAGTGCGTGGGCCATCTCACAGTGTCTGTGCCCACCAGGTGCCAGGGGATGGTCCCTTTCTCCCAAGCCCACGCGTCTGCACACACTCACAAGTGTCCCCCAGTGGAGACCCACAGCATCAGGCCTCAGGGCGTATGAGACATTTCCTTCCCGTCACCCCGTGCTTCTCAAAGTGCAGCATCCCTAAGCACCCGCTGTGGCCAGCACGAAGAATGCCGAGGCCCGGGTCCTGCCTCCTGCCTCCAGGCTCCAGGCTCCAGGCTCCAGGCTCCAGGCTCCAGGCTCGACAGTGGGCCGAGGACAGAGGGAGAGCGAGCTCCAGGTGCTTCTGCAGCAGGGCCCTCGGAGCCCGCCTCGGGATCCCCTCCAGGAAGCTCCAGGGACAACCACGCACCACGGGAGGCGCCCTACCCACTTGGACCCTGGCCTTGAACTCCTCCGCTTCCCATTTCCTCTTCCCTGAGAATCCAGTCAAAGGACGCACAGAACCACATCCTGGCTCAGCCACAGCCCCTGTCGCCTGCTGCTCTTCTGGGGACAAAAGCCACAGAGCTAGGAGGAAGTCACAGCACCCCCGCCCCGCCCCATCCTAAAGGAGCCCCGAGTGCTTCCTGGGAGAAGGCTCTGCCCCTCAGCTGGTTCTGTCGGGCTGTCTTCTCCCTGCTGGACCAGAGGCTGGAAAGGCATCGTGGCTGAGTGTGCAAATTCTGGAACCCGACTCCCTGGACTTGAACTAGACAAGGCACCGAACTGCTCTGTGACTGTTGTCTGATTTGCAGACTAGGTGCAACAGGAGCATGGATGCGTTGGGTTATTGTGGGATTGCTTGTGGTGGTGTGTGCAAAGGGTTCAGAAGCGTGCCTTGCACGTGGTGGCAGCTGTAGCAGCGTCACCTGCAAAACAACGGCAGGATCAAGCCGGTTTGGAGAAGTGTCCGAGCTCAGTGGAAAGAAAAACTTCTCCACACTGGTTAAAAATCAGTCCAGTGGGCCGGCGCCGCGGCTCACTAGGCTAATCCTCTGCCTGCGGCTCTGGCACACCAGGTTCTAGTCCCAGTTGGGGCACCGGATTCTGTCCCAGTTGCCCCTCTTCCAGGCCAGCTCTCTGCTGTGGCCCGGGAGGGCAGTGGAGGATGGCCCAAGTACTTGGGCCCTGCACCCCATGGGAGACCAGGAGAAGCACCTGGCTCCTGGCTTCGGATCAGTGCAGTGTGCAGGCCGCAGCGGCCATTGGGGGGTGAACCAATGGAAAAAGAAGACCTTTCTCTCTCTCTCTCTCTCACTGTCCACTCTGCCTGTCAAAAAAAAATAATAATGAAAAATCAGTCCAGTGGACGGGTGCTGATGGGGAGCTCTCTTGGTGGCAGGAGACTCAACAAAGCCTAGCGGTGTGACAGCAGCAGCTGCCCTGAGTTCTGACCCCATCTCCTATGTCATCAGCGAGGAGGTAGGGACAAGTCCGAGGCGCTAGGAGGCCCTCTGCCTTCTTCCTTAAAGGCCACATACAGACAACTGTGTCTGGTTTCCACTGGGATAGAAACACTCCATCCAAGGGGGCAGGAAGAGAAAGTTCTGTCACTTGAAGAATGATTGGAGCGCTGAAGACGGTCCGGGCTGGGTACTCGGAAGGAAGAGGGGCAGTGTGGCCCAGTGGTCAAGGCCATGGCCTTTGACAGTATCAGTGATGCCCTCTATACAGCTGCTTGATCTACAAATCACAAGCTTGTCTGTCCACCAACAGGACCGCTTCCTGGACTGCTTGTAGAGGAAGTGGGGCAAACCTTATCCACCCAGCCTTGCAGCCACTGGCATGCAGCTGTGCGATTTGCTGAATTCAAAGTAGAGTCACCTCGGGACCTGCACCGTGGTGCAGTTGGCTAAGCTTCTGCCTGTGGCACCGGCATCCCATGTGGGCACCAGTTCGAGTCCCAACTTCTCCACTTTCAATCCAGCTCCCTGCTGATGGCCTGGGAAAGAACTGGAAGATGAACCAAATGCTTGGGCCCCTGGACCCGCCTGGGAAACGCTGAAGAAGCTCCTGGCTCCTGGCTTTGGATCCTCCCAGTTCTGTCCATTGCAGCCATTTGGGGAGTGAACCAGTAGATGGAAGACCTTTCTCTCCATCTCTCCCTCTCTCTGCCTGTAACTTGCCTTTCAAACAAATAAAATAAATCTTTGAAAGGAAAAAAGTAGAATCATCTTGCAGTACCTGAGGGGGATCAGTTCCAGGACCGTAGTGGACAACAGAGTCCTTGGAAGTCAAGTTCTTTATGGAAATGGTGTAGCATTTGCAGACAGCCATGCACATCCTCCTGTGCACTTTTGTTGTTGTTTTTAAATTTTATTTATTTGAAAAGCAGAATTACAGAGAGGCAGAAGCAGAGCGAGAGAGAGAGAGAGAGAGAGAGGTCTTCCATCCGCTGATTCACTCCCCAAATGGCTGCAATAGCTGGAGCTGCACCGATCTGAAGCCGGGAGCCAGGAGCTTCTTCTGGGTCTCCTATGTGGGCACAGGGGCCCAAGGACTTGGGCCACCCTCTGCTGTTTCCCAGGCACATTAGCTGGATTGGAAATGGAGCAGCCAGGACTCGAACCAGCGCCATGTGGGATGCTGGCACTGCAGGCGGGTTTACCGGCTACACCACAGCACTGGCCCCTCTCCTATGCATTTCATCTCCTCTCTAGATTGTAATACCCAAGACCACGCCAGCACTGTGTCAGTCATTGATCTACTGTATTGTTTGGGGAATAAGGACAAGAAAGAAAAGACCGTGCCTGTCAGGGATAGACACAACCATTCCAGGCCCAACCACATTTCCAGTCCCTGGGACCTGCATATGTGGACACTGTGGAAATGCAGGGCCAACCACGCTGTCCTTGGGAAAAGAGTACCCAGGGATTCTCATGGCTCCTGGGCCCGACTAGGACCCACAGAGGAGCACCACAGGGAGGAAAGTCGGGCTTAAAATGAAGACCTGGGGGCCAGCGCTGTGGCATAGCAGGTTAAAGCCCCGGCCTACAGTGCCGGTATCCTGTATGAGGGCTGGTTCGAGTCCCAGCTGCTCCATTTCCGATCCAGCTCTCTGCTGTGGCCTGGGAAAGCAGTGGAAGATGGCCCAAGTCCTGGAGCCCCTGCATCCACGGGGGAGACCTGGAAGAAGCTCCTGGCTTCAGATTGGCTCAATTCCAGCCATTGAAGCCATTTGGGAAGTGAACCAGCGGATGGAAGACCTCTCTCTTGTCTCTGCCTCTCCTTCTCTCTCTGTGTAACTCTGACTTTCAAGTAAAATCGATAAATCTTTTTAAAAAAAATGCAGACTGGTCTGTCAGATACAATCATGTCACAGAAAAGGCTGTTGTAAGTGGTCGGCATCCTGTCACTGGCTTAGCTCAGTGACCGCCTGTCCAGGTGGATGGTGAGAAGGTTCCAGCCATAGGTCAGAGGTCAAATCAAAACAGCATCTCCCAGGTGTAAAAGTCTGGAACAAAGCACTGTCAGAACCAAGCTCATGCTGGGAAAAGCGGATGTCTGCGTGTAAGAGAACAGGGCTGGGGGCCGGCGCTGTGGTGCAGCTGCTTAAGCTGCCCCCGTACCACTGACTGGCATCTTACATGAGCACTGGTTCGAGTCCTGGTTGCTCCACTTCCCATCCAGCTCCCTGCTAATGCACCTGGGAAGGCAGCGGAGGAGGATGGCCCAAGTCCCGGGACCCCTGCCGCCCACATGGGAGACCCAGATGGAGTACCAAGATCCTGGCTTCAGCCTGGCCCAGCCCCAGCTGATGTGCCCATTAGGGGAGTCAATCAGTAGCATGAAGATCTCACTCTGTCCCTCACTCCCTCTCTCTCTGTAAACCTGCCTTTCAAATAAATATAATAAATGTTTTAAAAATAATGAAATTGGACTGCCTCCTTCCTTACGTTGTATACAAAAATTAACTAAAAATATTTTAAATGCATAAAATATGGGGGAAATTTTAATAAACATTGGATTTCACAATGATTTCTTAGATGTGATATCAAAAATACTGGCAGCCAAATGAAAATTAGATAAACTGGACTACATCAAAGTTAAAAGCTTGAGGTCAGCGTTGTAGCACAGTGGGTAAAGCCGTTGCCTGCAACCCTGCATCCCATGTAGGCGTCAGTTCAAATCCTGGCTGCTCCACTTCTGATCCAGCTCCCTGCTAATGCACCTGGGAAAGCAGAAGATGGCCCAAGTAGTTGGGCCCCTGCTACTCATGTGGGAGACCTGGAAGAAGCTCCTGGCTCCTGGCTTCAGCCTGGCCCAGCCCCTGCCTTTGTGGCCATTTGGGGAGTGAACCAGTGGCTAGAAGATCAGTCTCTCTTTTTCTCTCTGTAACTCTGCCTTTCAAATAAATAAAATAAATCTTTAAAAAATTTAAAAGCTCTTATACACCAAACAGCACTATCAATAGAGTAAAAAAAAAAAGCAATAGTGGGAAGTATATAAAAATTGTACATCTGTTGAAGACTTAACGTCCTGAATATATAAAGAACCCCTACAACCCAACAATAAAATAAATAACTCGATTTAAAATGGGCAAAGTTCTGGAATAGGTGTTTCTCCCGAGAAGATATTCAAATGAACCAACATCATCAGTCATCGGGGAAGTGCAAATCCAAACCACAAGGGGCTACCGCGTCACCTCCCTCGGGACAGATCCTCTAAAGCAACCACAACGAACAGAAAACAACGAGTGCTGGTGAGGATGCGTGGGCATCGGAGCCAGACGTGCCACCGCGGAAATGTGGAACGGCGCGACTGCTGCGGGAAGCCGTGCGGAGCCTCCTCAAACTGCCCGTGTCTCACCGCCGTCAAACTGGCAGCCCTGCCTCTAGGGGTACGCCTGAATGTGGGGTGTGGGAGAGGTGTTTGTACAACCACACAGCTAGCATCAGTATGTGCAATGCCAAGACGAGGAAACACCAGAGGCATCCACTCATCAGCGGACAAAAATAAATGAATAAAATGGGTTGTGTCCATAAGGCAGAATACTATTCAGCCTTTATTTATTTTTTAAATATTTATTCGAAAGTCAGAGTTACGAGAGAAGGTGGCGGGGGAGAGAAAGAGAGAGAGGGCAGAGAAAGGTCTTCCATCCGCTGGTTCACTCCCCAGATGGCTGCAACAGCAAGAGCTGCGCCAATCCAAAGCCAGGAGCCAGGAGCTTCTTCCGGGTCTCCCACGTGGGTGCAGGGGCCCGAGGACTTGGGCCATCTTCTGCTGCTTTCCCAGGCCATAGCAGAGAGCTGGATTGGAAGTGAATCAGCCGGGACACCAACCAGCGCCCACAAGGGATGCCAGCACTGCAGGCAGTGGCTTTGCCCACTACGCCACAGTGCCAGCCCCAAGTATTCAGCCTTTATAAGGGAAGGAGAGGCCGCTGCCTGCAGTGCCGGCATCCCATGTGGGCTCTAGTTCGAGACCCGGCTGCTCCTCTGCCGATCCAGCTCTCTGCTGTGGCCTGGGAAAGCAGTAGAAGATGGCCCAAGTCCTCGGGCCCCTGCACCCACGTGGGAGACTCGGAGGAGGCTCCTGGCTCCAGATCAGCACAGCTCCAGCCATTGCGGCCAGTTGGGGAGTGAACCAGTGGATGGAAGACCCCCCCCCCTCCCTCCCTCCCTCCCGCTCTTCTCTCTGTGTAACTCTGACTTTCAAATAAAATAAATCTTAAAAAAAAAAAAAATAAAAAAAATAAAGCCAGGTGTGGGAGCCAGTGCTATTGTGTAGTGGGTAAAACCACCGCCAGCAGTGCGGCATCCCATATTGGCGCTAGTTCGAGTCCCAGCTACTCCTCTTTAGATCCAGCTCTCTGCTATGGCCTGGGAAAGCAGTAGAAGATGGCCCAAGTCCTTGGGCCCCTGTACCCGCACTGGAAAACCTGGAGAAAGCTCCTGGCTTTGGATCAGCTCAGCTCCAGCTGTTGCAGCCATTTGGGGAGTGAACAAGCGGATGGAAGACCTCTCTCTCTCTCTGGCTCTCCTCTCTCTGTGTAACTCTTTCAAATAAATAAATACATCTTTAAAAATAAATAAATTTAAAGGAAACTTTTTTTAAAGATAAAAACAAACAGGGGCCAGCGCTGTGGCTCAGTGGGTTAACGCCCTGGCCTAAAGCGCCAGAACCCCACATGGGCACTAGTTCTAGTCCCGGCTGCTCCTCTTCAGATCCAGCTCTCTGCTATGTCCTGGGAAAGCAGTAGAATATGACCCAAGTCCTTGGGCCCCTGTGCCCACGTGGGAGACCCAGAAGAGGCTCCTGGCTTTGGATCGGCGCAGCTACAGCCGTTGCGGCCAATTGGGGAGTGAACCAGTAGATCGAAGACCTCTCTCTCTCTCTCTGCCTATCTTCTCTGTGTAACTGTCTTTCAAATAAATAAATAAATCTTTTTTTAAAAAAAGATAAAAACAAACATAAAAGATGTCCCTAAGAAGGCTTAAAAAAAGAGAATTACTGCTACAAGTTGATAAGAAAACATAAACAGTGCCATAGGCAAATGGCCAAAGGATATGGACAAACAGGCTCGCGGTGGGAGAGGCCAAAATGAGAAAAAGATCATCTCTGATAGTAACAGGGAAAATGCAGGTAGAAACTCTGAGGCATGGGCGAGCAGACGCCTAAGCAGTTGACTGGTCCGCAAGGGCAAACGGTTTGCCAGAATCCCGAGAGGGAAGGCTTCACAGCCCGCCGTCCCCAAATCCCACGCCCACGGGCTGGCCTGGAGAAACCCAAGTAGCGCTGAAGGCGGGACAGACGGGGTGCCGCTCCCTGGTCAAACACGGAACACATGTGTAGGATACTCACACCCAGCGTCTACAATGAGCGATTACTAGTGCTGTGTGTATCAGCGTGGGAAAACCCAAAAAGCTGCGGCAGGGAGCAAAGAAGAGGGAGCTGCTGAAGACGGAGATGTGTAGCGCAGCCTTTAAACGCACTCTCCAGATGCGCACAGCCCGCCTGGGTGGCCGTGTCTGCAGCGTCTGAAACAGGTCTCGTAATGACAAACACCAGACTCAAGGCAGGTGGCAGGGGGACGGCCTCAGGGAGGGGACAAGGGCCTTCAATACACTTTCTTTAAAAAAAAAAAAAAAAGATTTATTTATTTATTTGAAAGGCAGAGGGAGAGCCAGAAAGAGAGAGGGCTTCCACCTGCTGGTTCACTCCACAAATGGCCACAGTGGCAGAGCTGGGCCAATCGGAAGCCAGGAGCCAGGAGCTTCTTCCGGGTCTCCCACGTGGGCACAGGGGCCCAAATGCTTAGGCCATCTTCCACTGCTTTCCCAGGTCATAGCAGGGAGCTGGATCAGAAGTGGAGCAGCCGGGACTTGAACCAGCACCCATATGGGATGCTGGCACCACAGGAGGTGTCTTTACCTGCTACACCACAGTGCCAGCCCCTCAATACACTTTCTAATGGTGCCGTTTGACTGTCCAGCCATGCTGGGCAGCGAGAGCTTTCGTAGGTGTGCAGGGTTTGAAGGGACTCTGGGATGTGAGCCCACTCAGGGCCCACCCACCACAGGCATCCCTCGGGGTACGCAAGGCACTGCGGGGTGGGGAGGCTCTGTCCTGCTACTGAACCGCGGGCAGCTCTCTTTAATGCAGTGTTTTCCAAACACCTAAGTGCAGAACTTTCTGGGCCTCACCTCGGGAAAGGCCTGGAGACCTCAGGCGTCCTTTGCAGTCCTCACGTCCGTCCTTCTGGTTCTCCCTGCCGCCAGCTTGGACTTAGTTTCTTAAGCCACTAAATGGGGGTGGGGGCGGAGGCACAAGGCTTCCACCTAACGGTCCAGCCTCCGCTTGGGACAGAGGCATTCCACATCAGAGTGCCGCAGTTCAAGTTCAGACCCCACCCCCGCCGCCAGCTTTCTGCTGCAGTGCATCTTGGGAGGCAGCAGGTGCCACCCACGTGGGAGACCCAGACTGAGCTCCTGGCTTCGGCCTGGCCCAGCCCAGGTTGTTGCAGGCATCTGGGGAGTGAACCAGCAGATGGGAGCTCTCTTTCTCTCTCAAATAAATAAATTGTTTAAAAAGTTATTAGTGGGAGGGGTCAGCGCTGTGGCATAGGGGGTAAAGCCACTGCCTGCAGTGCCGGCATCCCATATGTGCGCCGGTTCATGTCCCGGCTGCTCCACTTCTGATCCAGCTCTCTGCTATGGCCTGGGAAAGCAGTGGAAGATGGCCCAAGGACTCCCACGTGGGAGACCAGGAAGAGGCTCCTGGCTTCGGATCGGTGCAGTTCCGGCCATTACGGCCATCTGGGGAGTAAACCAGCGGATCGAAGACTTCCCTCCCTCCCTCTCTCTGTAACTTTCAAATAAATAAATAAATCTTCAAAAAAAAAAAAAAAAGTCATAAGGCTATAAAATAGGAGACTGCTCTCACAGCTAACGAGCTTCCCCTTGATCCCGTAAGCAGGGGCCCAGACCCAGGCCCAGGGTGCCCGGATAAGTAACTGACACGTGTAGTGCAGCTCACATCTCAGCAAGCTTTGCAGGTCCTGGAAGAAGGCAATGCAGCCAGCACGTTGCATGCAAGCCTAAGGAAGGCACTAAGGAAGAGGGGGGACTGCGGCCAACTAAAAACGCAACTTAACCTAAACTGGCTCCCAGGGATGGCTGCCTTGTGAATAAGGCAATCGGGGTTGTTAGAGCTTCCTTTTTTTTTTTCTTTTTTAAAGAATCAGGAAGTTGGAATTTGTAAAGGTTAGCAGTCAATTCAAAAACTAGAATGGGCTGGGTCTCAACCTCTGGTCTCCTTTAAACCTTTGACCGTGTTTTATGGAGGAGGAAAGTGAAGTTCAGAGTGGTTAAATATTTCCCCACCTCACAGCAAAGACCAAGAACGGGCTGCTCAGGGTCCCCTTCCCAGTCACTACAGCCGCGAAGCCAAGAACCGGCACTGACCGTTGGCTGTGCTGTGTGAGGGCTGGCAGGAGCCAGGCTCGAGCTGAACATACAAGAACCACACCAGGAGGAGGCACTGTTTAGGAAGAGCAGGGACAGGGCACCAAGGCTCAGAAAGGCAGAGTAAATTGACCAGGAACACACCGTAAGTCTTGAACCTGGGTCTGCTCTGATTGCAAGGTTCTAGAAGCTTCCTTTTGCAACTGAAGAACCAGGCTAGAGAACCTCAGAGACGGAGGAGCCTGGGCTACCCCGAAGGGCAGGGGGCTCCCGGGTGGGCGGCCTCCCGTGCCTCCACTAAGCCATTTGAAAAATCTATTTTAGCGGCCGGCGCTGCGGCTCACTAGGCTAATCCTCCGCCTTGCGGCGCCGGCACACCGGGTTCTAGTCCTGGTCGGGGCGCCAGATTCTGTCCCAGTTGCCCCTCTTCCAGGCCAGCTCTCTGCTGTGGCCCGGGAGTGCAGTGGAGGATGGCCCAAGTGCTTGGGCCCTGCACCCGCATGGGAGACCAGGAGAAGCACCTGGCTCCTGGCTTCTGATCAGCACGGTGCGCCGGCCACAGTGGCCATTGGAGGGTGAACCAACGGCAAAGGAAGACCTTTCTCTCTGTCTCCCTCTCTCACTGTCCACTCTGCCTGTCAAAAAAAAAAATCTTTAGGATCTGGGTCTGTCGCTGTGGTGCAGCAGGTTAAATTGCTGCCTGCGATGCGGGCATCCCAAAGAAGCCAGTTCCCAGCTGCTCCACTTCCAAACCAGTTCCCTGGGAGGGCAGCAGACAATGGCCCAAGTGCCACGGGCAATTGCCACCCACATGGGAGAACCGGATGGAGTTCCAAGCTCCGGGCTTCCCCTGGCCCAGACCTGGCTGTTGCAGCCACCACCCGGGGAGTGAGTCAGTAGATGAAAGATACCTCTCTATCTGTCTCTCCCTCTTTCTGTTTCTCTGATACACACACCCCCTCAGCTGCTCTGCCTCTCAAATAAATGAATCTTTTTTTATTTTTTATTATTTTATTTTATTTTATTTTGACAGGCAGAGTGGACAGTGAGAGAGAGACAGAGAGAAAGGTCTTCCTTTGCCGTTGGTTCACCCTCCAATGGCCACCACGGCCGGCGCACTGCGGCCGGCACACCGCGCTGATCCGATGGCAGGATCCAGGAGCAGGTGCTTTTCCTGGTCTCCCATGGTGTGCAGGGCCCAAGCACCTGGGCTATCCTCCACTGCACTCCCTGGCCACAGCAGAGAGCTGGCCTGGAAGAGGGGCAACCGGGACAGAATCTGGCGCCCCAATCGGGACTAGAACCCGGTGTGCCGGCGCCGCAAGGCGGAGGATTAGCCTAGTGAGCCGCGGCGCCGGCCCATGAATCTTTTTTTAAAAAAAAATTAAAATTAAGTAAAATCTTTCGGAAAGTCTGAAAACCACTGATGTGCCCTGAGCCCTGGTTCACGAGGGAGGAAACTTAGGCGCAGATCTTAGGTGCGTGCCCGAGATCCCCCTGCAGGTCAGGACGAGAACTGCGGTCTCCGTGCTCCTGGTGCTGAGCCCCAAGGGCAGCCGCCCAAGGGTGTGCCAAGGCCTCCTGCAGCTCCTCTGGCTGGGCCCAGGGCAGGGCCGTCTACCCGCTTCCCACCGCCCCCCTGTCCTGCCACCTCCTCCGGCCTGGCCTCCTGCCTGTTGGGATAACTTTTTGACCTGCTCCTTCACAAGCTCTCCCGGGGGTGTGGCTGCTGCCGCCACAGTATGTCTTAGGGAATCCTGGGGCCACGGCCGGTCCCACAGCAGACGATGGTC